GGGGGACGGCGGGGGAGCTTGTCCGGGGGGGGGCCGCCACGACGGAGGGGGGCTTGGGGGGTGGGGGAGGGGGCTGCAGCCACCCCAAAATTAAGTGTACCCCCCAACCTCCCTCCCAGTGCTGCCACCACCTGCCCCGAGCGCAGCCCCAGCCCAGCCCTCCCCGCGCAGATCTGGGGGCACATGTTGCCTGTGGTATCCTGGGGTGCATGCAGCGGTGGGAGCCGCACCCCCTCCCCGCACTCCCCTGGATGAGCCGGAGCTCCGTTCTGGGCCCTCCCCCCCGCACCTTGCCCGAGCAGTCCTGGCCCCAACCCCACTCCCTCCCTCACCATGGGGGCCTTGATCTGCCTCCCCAACACACCTTCCTTTCCCCCTCCCCTTCTACCACAACAGATGTATTAGCTCAACATTGCTCTCCAAGCTGCTGGACTGTGCTCCTTGCCACCTATGTGCTGTGCTGTGGCTGCCCTATGTACATGGGCCATTTATCAGCCAAATCAAGCCAATTTCCAATACAGTCAATTATCTCTATATTGGTGCCGATCCGACATCAGGCAGATGCATTGGTGCACTTCTGGTAAAAAGCCTAATATGACAAGTCCTAGATGCCTCTTAACTCTGAATTGGGCAAGGGCTGGTCTATGCTTGAAAACTGCACCAATATAATTATGTCAATGATGCAGGCTTTTTTCTTATTCCCCCCCCCCCAACTAAGTTGCTTATACGGATACAAGCCTTAATGTAGAGGGTGTGGAAGCAGAACATTTAAAGGGTTGTTATGGATCCAGAGCAAACTGGAGCCTTGCTCTGGACCTGTATTGAAGATAAATCCCCATCAACTCAATTTTGAATAGTCACAAGGCTGGAGAACCAAAGGCAGCTGGATGTGATGCAGGCCGTATCACTCCTTGCACTGTTGGATACAGATACTAGGATGTCTTGCCAATGCTAGGCTGATGAGCTGCCTTTGTTTGGGATGGATCCTGAACGCCCTATTATTGTGGGCAGTTATGCTGGTACAGTAAGCACGTCAGCCTGGTATAGATGCTCCCCATTCCATACGGAAAAAGTAACATCAATATGAAATTGCGTAAGTAGTACAATCTGTTGGTGTAGACAAAGTCTCCCCTAATATTTACGTCTATCACAGAAGTGTGGAAGGAAAGAGAAAAAGTGACGTGTTTAAGGCAACACCACAAAGGAGGGGTCTGAACTGAGGAATTTCTAAGACTAGCTTGCCTTAATCTCTTACATGGATTATAACTGCAATATTTTTTCCTTCGCTTTCTCTGTTTCTCCCAAAGGGAAAGAATAGTAGCACAGTGGTAGTACTGCTCAACAGAAAAAGGATGCACTTCCCAGTCAGCATAGCAGCTTATTACAAACAAGTATTTACAGTTTTGAATAAAACCCCGCTCCTTACACATCTAGTCTCTTCACATGCCAAACC